TTCTATTGCCCGTTTTGATAGCTACTTCGTTATTCTTGTAGAGTGCTTTTACCGCGTTTAATAATCTTCGTGGAACTTCGATGTCTTCCATTGCTTCCCATAGCTTGGTTCTAGGTATTGAGTCATATGCCTTCTTAAAATCAACAAAAGCCAGATGGACGGATCTATTTTTGGCCATTCTTTTTTCTATTAGTTGTTCGACCGTGTCAATGTGATCTAAGCATGCTTTCCTCGTTGTGAAACCTGCCTGGTCTTCTCCGATTTTATCTTGTATATATATTTCTAATTTTTCCTTTATCGTCTTTCCATACAGTCTGCCTATAGACGATATAATGCTGATTCCCCGATAGTTTTCGCAGTTTTTTCTATTTCCTTTCTTGTATATTGATGTCATATATGGTTGGGTCCATTCTGCCGGTAAGTCTTCTCCATTCAGTGCTCTCTCAAACATTTTGTGTATCATACGGAATAACTTTTCCGATTCGTTTTTTATCAATTCATTTGGTATTCCGCCGGGACCTTCTGCTTTTTTTGTTCTTGTTTTATATTGTTTTATATATATCTTAAGCATTCACTCCAGCTGTATTCAAAAACGAAAAAAATAGTATCAAAGTCCAACGACGGCTATTTCTTGATATGCTATAATTAGCAGATAACTCATCCAATATGTTTACACCACCTATGGTTGAATTATTGTAAAAGTCGATAATTTCAGATAATTTCTTTTCACCAGTGTCTTTAATTATAGTATCATCATGATGCAATGTAGAAAAGAAGATTACATTTTTTGAATTTTTTAACACATATGAGACAGCCTTTATATCTTCTTTGAAGGCAAATTTTGAACTGCGGGCTTCTCTTCTTCGTGTGTTCAGAAGTGCTGTTGGAAATTGCCTTTTATTCTTCCTAACCCTTCCAACCGATATAAGATGATGAGTCTGAAGTAAATTGATCATGAGCGGATAGTTGGTAAACCAGTTATCGAAAGTAATATTAAGTTTAATACCAGCAACTGTAGCAAAACACGTATAAAGTATAGCTACTAGGCGCTATTTCATCTACTTTCGATTTTATAGTAATAAAAGGAATATCTGGGGTACGGTATACAGTATACCTCAGAACACTAACCGAGAGCTAAAGGAGTTAATGCAATGTTAATGTGGTTAAAATAAGAATTTAGTGTTAAGTGTTTAATTAAGAGGTTTTGTACCATACACGATTTTCTGTCGAAAAGTTTCAACAAAGTTTTCTGTCGAAGGTTTGTCACGACGAATGAATTGTATGCCAATTTATTTATTTCAGTGTCATTATTATATCTTTTGTTACTTACTTATGGTACTTTTTGTTACTTAATTATAAAAACTAGAAATATCTAACAAACAAGACAAAGTAACCGTGTAACAATATATACATAAATTTATAAATTGATCGGTGTTGTTCACAAGGTTCTGCTTAATCTTCCACATTTTTAAAAGGTCGAAGAGAAACATATGTTTATTATTTATTTAAGACAAGCTATACCTAAAAATAAACAATATTATCGCAAGGCAATATTGATTTTGCATTTGAATATTATCGAACCACCACGATTACGTATTATATAATGTTGTGGCTGGGTTAGCTTTGAGTATTATAAATAAATTAATATTTACAATATTAAGTACTGATATAAACTAGATAAGCAAATATTTGTGCATTATATTGCATTTTGAAAATAATCAATATTAAACTGTTTTCAATGGATAGTTGAAATATATTTATAAATTATATTTGAAAGACAACATACAGTTTAATTATTTAAATAAATGAAGGGATGATTTTAAGTGTTAATATTTTAAGTAGATGAGTACTGAAATATGAGTACTGATATACAGTATTCGTCAAAATAAAGTCTACTGAAATTAATTAATTTAATTTAAGTAGGTATTGTTTTTGATAACTTGATAACTGACATACTAAAATATGCATATTTTTTTTGCTGTGGGGTAAGTAGTGGATCTTATTCTTTGTTTTATTCTTCTTCTTTATGTGCCGTCTTCTGCTGAAGGTTTTAAATCATCACGGTAAATGCTTTTCTGTTTTGTACTGCATATATTATTTTTGCAGCTTTTGGTTTTTGGAACCACTCCAGTAGGTTTCTTAACCAGGATTTTATTGTTTCCACCTAACACTCTCATACATTCAATAATGTCTTCCACTATAAGATGGCTTTATTATCATCATCATCATCATCATTCTGGCTTTACAATCATGCGTGAGTCCTAGTCTCCCTAAGAATTTCTTTCTAGTCGTCCCTATTCATCGCCTTTCTCCTCCAAGCACGTATTCCAATATTTATTATGTCTTCATCAATGTTATGAAGCAATCTTGTTCTGGGTCTTCCTTTTGTTCTCTGACCAATGGGTCTCTCAAGGAGCCACCTTTTTCTCAGGTGGGTCATTTTGTTCCATCAGAATTACATGCCCCATTCACCTCAGACGTCCTATCTTAATATGTTTTAGGATATTTGGTTCCTGGTTTATTCTATAAAGTTCGAAGTTATATCGTGTTCTTCACCTTCCATTGTCATTCATTGCTCCACTTTTCTTTCGAAACCATATGTTTCACTGAACCAAATGTAAGTACTGGGCGTATTATTGTTTTGTAAAGTTTTATTTTTGTATTTTTCGATATATTTGCGGATTTATGAAGAATATTGAGCACAAAATAGCATCTGTTGGCCGTACAAATTCTGCGGTTTATTTCTGCGGTATTATTATTTTCAGTGTTGGTGAGCGCAGCCAGGTATACAAATTCGTTCACTGCTTCGATGACGTCGTTTTCTATAACAATTGGTCGTAGGATTTGTGGTTGCCTGTTTATTTTCATATAATTTTTTTTGCTAGTGTTTGTTATTAAACCCATTTTTCTAGCTTATTCTTTTAATGCTACATTACACTGTACGCCTCTCGTACAGTGTTTTTCGTTCTCCCAACAATATTGATATTATTAGGATAGGCAAGGATTTGCACTGATTTATTATATATTGAACCGGTTGTTGTGATTTGTGACGTACGTATTACTTTTTTCAGAGCTAGATTGAATAGTATACAAGAGAGTGGGTCTCCCTGACGTAGCCCGTTATTTGTATTAAAAGGTTCAGAGAGTTGCCCCTGGATTCGTACTCTGCATTCAACTTTTTCAACGGTTAGTTTGGTTAGACTTACCAACTGATTTGCTACTTCTAGGTCTATCATTGCTCTAAACAATTCTCTTCTATTTACAGAGTCGTAGGCTGACTTGTAATCTATAAATATGTGGTGCGTGTCTACACCGTATTCCAGTGTTTTCTCTAGAATTTGTCACAGGGTTGAAATCTGATGAATTGTTGATTTACCACCTCTGAAACCAGCCTGGTATTGTCCTATATTCGCTCTGCATATGGTGCCATACGATGGCATAGTATATTGGAGAATTTTTATACGCTGCATTTAGGAGCGTAACTCCTCGATAGTTAGAGCATTCAAAGATATCTCCCTTTTTGTGTATGGTTCAAAGTATTTCAATATTCCAATCACTGGGAGGGGACTTTTGTGTCCATATTTCTTTTATAAGCTACTGCAGCGCTATTATGATATCGTGGCCACCTTCTTTATATAATTCCACTGGGAGATTATCTATTCCGGGTGATTTGTTTCTGGTTAGTTTGTTTACAGCGTCTTTAACTTCCAGGATCGTTGGTGGATTCTTCTCCCTCTCGTCTGCTTCGATTACCTTACAGCTTTCGTCTTCTGGGTTTTCTTATTCTTCCTCTATATTAAGTATCTGGTTAACATAATCTGTCCATCGATTTAGTACGTCTGTTGTTGTTGTTAAAAGATCGCCATTCAAACTTCTACATTTTGATTTATTTGTGTTTGCCTTGAATTCTTTTCTTTCTTATAGAATGTTCTGAATTCTTTCTCTCTGTTGAGGTTTTCTATATATTGAAGTTCCTTTTTTCAGTAGTTTCGTTTCTTCATTCTGTGTATTTTCTTTTCTTCTCTTCTCTTTGTCTGGTAATTCTCTACACTTGTTCTAGTTCGGCAGGTAAGCATTTTTTCATAGGCTTCATTTTTTTTCTATGTTGCGTCTTTGCATTCATCGTCAAACCAGTGATTTTTCAGGTATAAGTTTCTGTTCCTATTTCATCTTGTGCTGCTGACTCAATATCTTCCTTTATCCTGTTCCAGTAGGAGTCTATATCTCTCTGGTCTTCTTCGCTTGGACTTTGATTTCTTAATCTATTGGTAATATTTTCCCAGTACTGTTTTGCAACAGTTGTATCTCTCAGCTTGTGTACATTCCATTTCTTTCTATCTATATTTTTTTCTTTGTTGGAATTTGAAATTCTAGCCCTTAGTGTTGATATCACTAAACGATGGTCTGAGTCTGTGTTTGCGCCTTTATAACTTCTGCAGTTCATTATGTCCGTTCCGTGGCTTGAATCTATTAAGATGCGATCAATATGACTAGTTGTTTTTCCATCAGGAGAGGTCGAGGTTACCTTGTGTATATTCTAAAGGTATTGTGTATATAACATACTCCATACGTTACGGAAGATTTACGAATAGTTTACAAAAATATAAAATGATAAAAATAAAATCAGATAAACTAGCGATTGTCCTATTTTTTAACTAATACGTCTAGGTGAAAAATGGACGTTTACAACTGTATTAAACTACTCACTTTTTTATTGTCACTTTTCATAATATACATATGTTTCTTGAACATCGTAAAATGAAAACCTTTCGTCAAAATCTAATAAACTTTCAGCTGTTCGTCGACGACATCACAAAAACAATTGCAAGCGCGTCCATCCGTAGCAACCTTGATCCAAAAATTGAAATGGGTCACTGTCTCTCACTTGCGACGAATATTACAACGTAAATGTGAATCTTCAAAGTTCTCGGAGTGTGAAGAAAAATATCGATAAAAAGAAATATTAAAGTTGAACTGAAGAATACAGTGCGAACAAAAAAATGATGAGTCAAGAGGTGCTCCAGGTAGGTGATATGTTTGTGGCTTGATTGTAATTTGCAGAATAGAAATTTGCATATTTAAATTATATATCTCATTTTCAATAAGTTATTTTTGACAGTCCAATTGTAAAATATTTTTATCTGATTTTAGCTTGTACAAAAAATCTTATATGCAAATTTAGTTTGACGTAAAAATCCAACTTTGGGCAGACTCATCCACTTCTTGTTTCCATAGTTTTTCAACACACAATTCAACAGATTTTCTCACACAAAGTTAGACAATTAGTTTTAAAACTAGAATTACATTAAGATTTGCAGTGAGTCACCTTTATCCGACGTGCCATTAGATATATTTAATAATTTATTTATTCTAAATACTAGTACATGTTTCATTTGAATAATTAATTCAATTTTTGTTTCACTGGGGAATAACTTGAAAAAAAATTCTGTTGACTTTGATTTGTATTCAGACATGCTGATTTAAAACTATAATTAGTTTTTCCCCTTCGCATCAAGTTTTTTCTCTACTCCACAATCTTGCATTTATCATAGGAACCACTATTGCTCCCCTATTGGTTGACACTAACCTTCTTCGATAGGTGGGATTTGATCAGCAAAAGTTGAATGATTTAGTACGGGATTTAGAGCTATCGAAAAAAGCTTCAGAAGTCTTAGACTTACGACTGCGTATGTATCGAGTAAAATCTGCACAAACTATAATTAGGGGGAGAAAAGTGGCAGTAGCATTTTGCTTATTATCTTCACCATTAAAAAAAATGTAATGAAGAAATTATTGTTAGGCTGTTTGTTTGGGCTGTTAGTCCGTTGTCTTCTTAGATTAGTTCTCGACGTTTCGCCAACACAAGGGTTGGCATCTTCTGGAGATGTTACTGCTTCGCTTGTAAGCTAATGTTGTTGTTGGGCTATTCAACACAAACAGATAATATTTCTGTAAATATCAAGAGTTCAGAAATTTCTTTAGATTTCTCTTTACCTTTATTATAAGTTCTTTATATTCTCAAGTATAGCTCAGTTTCTGCTCCAGCAACCTTTTTGCCTTTCCGTCTTTTTCAGCATATATTACTTTATTGTTCATCAACTGCTCTCTTCCAATCTTCATTCTACCAGTCTATTGGTCTTTTTTGTCTCTTCCTTCATAACACTAAGTCGGCTGAACCTTTTGGTTTTACCTTGTCTTGTCACCTCGGGGTAAATGGAAAGGGTCTAAACGCCTTCTATTGCCTCCGGTTGCTCTGTAGAGGGCTTCGAAAACATCAACGAAAGCACCTCTACCCAAATCCATTTTCAGGGTATGAACTTGTAAAGTTTTCTCTTCTGATGACTCGTCTTGAGAAAGACGAGTTATTTCTTACACGACGAAGATTCTCCGTTGAAAAAAACCATCAGGTTGTCTTCTTTGGTGACTTGCCTTGAAAAAGGAAAGTTATTTCTTGCAGGACAAAGATATTAAGGTTGTCGAAATAAAATCACCAAATATTCAGTTGAATAATAACTCCAGCCACAGGGTATGGGAACATCTAAAAAAACAAGAAAGCTGAGCCCCGAGAGCACTAAGCTCTCGGAGAGCCCGTGAAGGACTGAACTTATTGACCTGAAAATCGCCTATTTTTATACTTTCTGAAGTAGCGATTAGGGATTTCCAGGTCAGGGAGGGGCCAACGGGAAAAATAAGGGGCGAGGCGATGAACAGTCTCGTCCAGCTTAACCTATTCTCGTATTTATTTCAACCCCCTATAAGTTCGACTATCTTTTATGGCTTCCATATGGTTAGCTTCTATTAGCACATGATATATTTAATTAATTTTCTGCCCATTAGGTAATATCCAGGTACGTTTATGCCTTTCTTTATGGCCTTTAAGTAAGTATTCAGATAATATCTTGTTTGTATGAAAGCAATGTTTTTACTCTGCTACTCTTTAAGCCTGTCCTTGTGTTTACACTTTCCTTTGCTCTGTGTTGCAGCCATTCCAAAGTACAGTGGATGCAGTTTATCCGTAATCCTACTGCCAATTTGTCGGATCCAACTTTCAGTTTCGTCACAAAACAGAATCAGCTGTTTTTTTTACAAATCTAGCAAAATGTAGAATTCCTACAATCGGTTGAACCAACATTTGTATCAGTATTTATAGTGCAGTGTACGAAGGAATTTAACTCCGATTTCCATCAAGATGCATACATTTTAGTTTTTAGATAGTTTGCCTTTATTTACCCTTAACTGGGGATTGATAGTTTTTTCAATAAATCAATCCTTTAAAACCCATTCGTGATTGAAAATTTCAATTTTTATTATATTTTCAATAGATTTGTGAAGAACTCAAAAACTTTACATCGTATCGAAAAAACTGTTAAAATTAAAATGTAGCTTATAAAAAACTAAAGAGATTGCTTTTTCTATTTGTACTTTAAGCCCAATGCCAACCGAGTTATAACTCATTGAAGATGGCAATTTCGTATTTAACGAAAAATTTTAAAAACTAAATATAGAATAACAGGAAAACGTTCAGTTTTACTGAAAAATTTGTTATATATTTTTTAAAGTAATTAAAAAAGTATTAATATGAGACCCTTCGATAAAAATAAGGTCTATTTTTGTGTGAGAATAAAAACAGCAATACTACCCTTGGAATTTCTACCCTAATTGTAATTAAACATTATTTATTTCAAATTCACTTTATTTTACCCATTAATACTCACCGCCAAGAGAAAAACTAAAAATACCGAAATCCTTTAGTAGTTATATAAAAAATTATATAAAAAATATTATATAAAAAGATAAAACAAAATTGGTTTGTGAAAAAAATAATGAGTACCCAACCATTTACACTGGGACACTGGGACAATCTATATAAAATATTTAAATCAAATTTGTACATAACCAATAGCAATATTGAACATAAACATGCATATAGACCACGGAAACATTTATTAAAAATACATACACATTATACCAGGAAAACTGAGCATTTCCTGTTATAGGTTCAGTTTTTAAAATGTTTCGTCAAATACGAAATTGTCACCTTTAAAGAGTTAAAACTCGATTTTGATTATGCTTACAGCCAAACTAAACAAAGCAATACATTGTTTGTTATAAGTTATATTTTAGGCATCAATAGTTTTTTAAATAAAAAATAACGATTTGGTTATTCATGAAAAATCGAGAAATCGTGAAGACAAGAAAAATAGAATTTTTCAATCACGAATACGTCTAAAAGAATTGATTTTTCGAAAAAACTCTGTAGCATTTTTTTGCTTAGAATATATTTTTCTATCGATTCTTGAAGTTGTTTTCAATATAAAGGTATCAACCGCCCAGTTGCGATGGATTTAATCCTCGAGGTAAAAGCTCACGTCGGCATAGTGTGGATTTTGAAGTTAAAGGTAAATAAAGGTATACTCCAAAATTTCATAAAAATAAATGCGTCTTGATGGAAATCGAAGGTTGTACCATATTTTTACCGTGGTACACTGGACTATTACTTTCAATACCGATTATTTAGCAAAATTATGTTGAACATAATTATCCAAACCTGTATACTCTCAATCGGTGCCACTGTTGGACTTTGTCTAAACATATTCCATTGAATTAAATTTGATAAATACCTTCCTTATGTCTTTATTAAACATTATTTCCAAGTATAGAATTATATATCAGATAAAATTATCGTAATTTTTTTGATCATTTATTTATTAGATAATACATTGCTGTAATGTAATGCTGTGATGTAATTGCCTTTATTCCTATTGAAATTACAATCAAGTTATTATTACAAACAAGTCACACATTCTAATCTACTATCCAGGTTGTCCATGAAAAGGACCCCTGGGTCGAAGAAACCACCATCAGCCTTCGCGAACATGATAACTCCTGGCCCAATATCGACGAGGATGTTCCTTCCATATTGGACAAAAAGGGCCGAAGGAAGTCTTGGCACGCTATCAAGTTTGAGAGGAAACGGAGAAAGGGGGTCATTGATGGATCGCCAGACGGTTCCCCAGTCGAAATTAGACAGAAAAGACCATCGTGGTGGAATATTTTTACAAATCAGCCGTGGCCTAGGTAAGTCATATTTTAATTTTTGTTCCAGGACCACTGCATTTGTATAAATTTTATTTTTAATGAAGGTATTGAAAATTAAAAATCTAATTTTTTTATATATACAGACGTATATACAGTAGGATGTCCGTAAATCATCGAGATAAATCATAGAAAATGTTTCGTTCGATTACTATAATGATTGGAACCTATATAATACTTTTAATACAACACGAGAGACATGATATTTAATAACTAATTATCTTATTTTTTACGTTATTGACCAAAGCAGTAGTATTCAAATTTATATCGCTAAAAAATTGTTCAGCAAAAGAGTTACGTTTAAATTCTATGGCATTATGGTTCTAGCAACTGAAAAGCTTACTTTTTGTTCCCTCTTTTTCTTGAATTTGTTTTCTCGCCTTTCTTATGTTTATGTATAGTACTCCATCCTTGTCAAGTCTTTTCCATTGTGTATATATTTCCGCTCTGCGGTACATTCTATTAATGTCATGAGCATAGGAGGCAAATATGCACGTCCAACATTTAGCTGTATTATGACATACTCGATAACCAGCTTAAACAATGCCCAAGCCAACCCATCAATTTGTTTTAGACTGATTGTTACTGTTGGTGAATCCAGCCAAGGCTTTGGATTTGTTACATTTTGATATTTATTTGTGTTTGAACTTTGCCGTAATCTCCACCAATTGTTGGGGGAAAGCTTATTAAATTTCTTTTCCCAGCGGGTACAGTGCCAAATATTTTAGAAACATGGACTGTTAAAGATATTCCTTCGATGCAGACTTTACGGCGATGATTCCTTAAGTGTTTGGTTTTATCGGGTTGTATTTGGAGAAAAATAAAGCGTAATCGATCGATATTACACATTTAATATCGAGAGAATATTTACGAAACAACTATTAATATTTATAAAATTGTCTTTACCACATTCATTTAACAACAATTTGATTCGATGCGATTTTCTTTGTTTCTGATGTATGGTGATCATGCGATCAGCACGACATTCCTTCTTCGTGCTGTTTCTTATCAGCTGTGCCTGTCAGTATTTCAGATTCAAAATATTTAAACCCAACTACTCTTAACGCCACTTCGTTTTTGCCTTCTCGAATAGAAGCACGTAAGTCAAAACTTTTTTTAGCTTCTCAAATAAAAGCAAGTTATAGTTCTTATCACTTGTATGCCAACAATTGCCGGATATTCAATATAAACTTTCGTGTTTTATAAATTAATATAAAAGTGAAAACCGGTTAATTATATGGGGTAGTGACACAACTTCACTGTAAAAGCATAGAAAATCCTTTAAAATTAAGTTTTGTAAAGTTATTTTTGTTAATTTGTTGCTTAATTATTGAAAAAATATCTTCAAAAGTCGATTTTTTGAAAATGATTAATAACTTGAATTCTAAAAACACAAAAATCTTTGCGTGAAAATAAGAACGATGTCACAAATATTCAGCTTAAAAATTTTTAAGAAATTTTAGTTAATAGTTATTGTAAAATTGAAATTTTTTATCCCAAAAATCTTTTATTACGTTATTGTGTGTAAACTATTAGCGCTACACGAATTCTGAAAGCACCGAATTGAAGAAAATAGCTTATTGTAACAAATTAAATCATTTAAACATTAAAAAGTTCATGTTAATAACTCTTTTTTTCAAAAATTCGCCGGGGCTTTGTTTATAAACAATAAAAACTTTAAAAAGAACCATTTAAAAGATTAGTAGTTCAAGTTTAAACAAAAAAAAAATTAAAAACGATTTCTTTACAAGCGAACCGACCATAATTCGCCGAAGATAAATGTTTTAAAAGTGAAGCAATTTTATTATTATTAGACAGCGGTGTGTCTGTAAGTATTTGCAAATAGTTTGGGGATAGATATGAGTGAACTGTGTGCTTCGGGATACATTGTAAGTAATATGTCAATAATTAGTAGAAATATTGTCCACGGAGAAGAGTTTGCATAGATGTATGTTTATTTCGCGATGTTTTTTTAAGATATTCCAGGATCATACTCAAAGGTCTCAAGATTGCAACACCTAGAAACCAAGAAAAGCCTTACAATAAATTACTCTATCTTTGCTTTCTTAATATGTCCTTCCATCGACTACTTATCTTTCTGAAATTACATTCTGCCTTTTTAAATGCATATTTAATTATTTTAATGGATTAATAATAACGATGTATCTACTAGCAGTTTTGCAATGGTTTAATTATGCATAATGGTACTTCAACACTGATTAATTTTTGATAACATTTTTTTATGTGTTATTTTTTGTTCTTTAAAACAAACGAATTATCTTATCGCAATTATCGATAAGTTAAAAAGTTAATTAGGAATGAATTTCGGCAATCAATAATGGCCAAAGGCTATTTTAATTATATATTTGTATTCCTTATCGAGAGAGTGTAATAATTATTTGTTTAATAACTTATTATAAATACTATATTGCTTTGTATAAATTTGATCTGAGGTAGGATTGTTCTTCTTAAAGTGCTGCTTATTTTGTTGTGTTGGTCACATTATCAAGGATATTTGTATTCAATTTACAGTTGATTTGATGAACTCAATTCTAATCTTAATAAAACGGTCTTATGTCTGTCTTTTTATTAATTTTTAGTAAAGTATTGTGTAAATTCCAAACGAGTCATTTGACGTTTTGTAGACCTTTCCATTCTGTAAACTGAAACGTCTTTTTTGTGCTCCCTACATTCATTTCACATCAAGGTCTTTATGAACTTTTCTTAATGTTGTCCAATTCTTTGTATTGGGATCGTTAATCTGTGCCTTTTAGAATTGGAAAATCATGTCGGTGAGGTTGTTCAGACTGTAATTAAAATTTAAATAAGTCACTAATTACATACTACAACATAGCTAACAGAAAAATCTAGCAACATTTAGTCTGATGTGAACTGTAGACTGCTTAATGTATGCTTTGGCTTTAGATGCAGATCAAAATTATCTAGAATATGTCTAGAATCTTCTCCGTCATACCTACCAAGTGTTCTACTGAAACACAAGTTTTTGCATTATTTTTGGCAGTATTCCTACCTGTACGATGGCTGATTTTCGTCGGTGATTTATCGATGGTTTCAATATAGTTGTTTACAGGTTGCCCTTTTAAGATGTTGTTTTCAGCCAGTTTTTGTCAACCCAGTTTTCGCTCCGAGCCTAAATTTATTACACTTAAACCTTTCTGCTCAGACTCGCTCGCTATTATTTTTTCTTTATCATGCAGTAAAGAATGCTGCACGGTTTGGGATGTTCAATCCTTGCAATAATCAGTTTTGAATGTTATCCACTTTTCATTGAGTATGAATCAATCCCGATATTTATATGGTTTAATCTGTTAATCATTTACCTCCACTAGGCCGCTGATATTTTTCAATTTTGAGATCTTCGTCTACTCTCGGTTGCAGCTTAATTTAGTTATTGTTGTTTTTTCTAGTATACCTGCAATTATCATGATATTGTCAGCACATCTTTGGTTATTTATTTTAATAGTATTTATTTTATTGTCCTCATCATAAATGTAAAGTGGATTTTCTTTATTTTATTACTGTCTATGTTGAATAACACCGGGTATGGTACGCGTCACTAGAGAACACTTCTTCTGTCCTGGCCTTAACAAAACAACTAGGAAAAGTTTTAAACAGTTTGCAACAAAAACAGTATGCACAATCTTTTAATTTAGCATAAACGAGCTTAACTTGGAATTATTTTCCCATTACACAATTGTTTTATAATAAATAGGTGAGAAACCTCTTTTGTTAAAACTAAATTTAAAGGAGAATTTATGTCAGTTTCTGTCAATTGGGCAAACTTAATTGTTCAGAGATAATTTAATTTTGCCCAATAAAATAAAAGACCCCTATGAACGTGAATGTTTTTAAAACTTATTTCTTTAGTACTTTGTTTTCTTCTTAAACACCTTTCATCACAGTTGTGGTATTTTATCAAATTCTTCTTTTGTTCATCTCCATTGACAATGTCAATTCCGTCTCTGTAACATTTACATCATGGGTTCAGGAAGTTAATACTGCTACATGTGTTTTTTTTTATTAAAATCGTTTTTAGTGAACTACTCGCCTTTTCCACTAGTTCTTTTTGCCGCACTATTTTCCTATACCTACTCTAATTAATTTCTTCTGCCTCTGTAACCACAACACAATACTTAACATTTTTTTTAATTTTATACGATTACAGTGTTATACTACATCATGATTAAGATTAAAATGTCACAAATTATCCTGCAGCATGCATTTATATTGTTTGGCCACAGACAAATATTTTCTTGAAAAATCCTCGACGCGGTGCGAAAAACAGGTTAACACAGTTTTTAATAATTTCCACACACCCAATTCATTCAAGACTACCACATATTGCGTCACGTTGACAATATTCAGATTATATCCATCGAGACAAAAATATTCGACAACCTACGTTCAGATAAGCTATAAATAAAATGTCTATCCTCTATTAATGCATCAAATTAGAAAATATGTTGCACCGGGTCGTTTAACCAAGGTAAGGCCTATATGTTATTCGATCTTAAGGATATAAAATTAACATTTAAATCTATGTTAATTCGTATGAATAGATTATTTCTTGGTAAATACTTCGGTAGAACTTGTTTCCTTAGTTTGCATTGTACTTATAATATATTACAACTACATTTTCACATTTGAAACTTTTTTTTATATATTTTGGGAGTAAACAATATATTGTAAATTATTATTCTACGTAACTACTATTGACAACAGGGAAAAAATTAAATGAAAAATTAAAAAATAGAATGAAATTAAAAATGAGTATAGGAAACATCCAAACATCTTATGTTTGGCCTGATCGCATGCTCATTATAAAGGCAAACAAAATGAACTATGTCCTTCAAATGTTGATGTAAATAGAAAAAGATGACAAGGCTTCCCTTTCTCTTCACTCTTACATTAGGATTTTTTTTCGTTTTTAAACCATCAATTGCCATTAGTCTAGGTGCCAG